TTCCTGCTGTGATTTTGCGTGACTGTATTGTTGTTCCTTTCCTGTTCTGTAGTACTGCAGTGGAGGGTTAAAGCAGTCGTCTTTGATTTCCAAACATGACTGCACTCTGTACTGTATTTCTGTTACCTGCTTGATGACAATTTGTGAGACCCAAGCTATACTTTGACATCCTCTGGAAGACGCTACGTACAAGTACAGTATCTTGCCATGGCAGAGCCCTACAGAAATGGATCAGAAAGCTGATGACCTTCCTTTTATTCCCTAGCTCGATCACCGATACCTGTGCAGCCCTGGCAGATAGCAGCCAGAAGGCAACTTTCAGAGGTCAGAAGTACTTCAGGTACTTCACTTGTTGGATGTAAAAACTCAGCGCTGCTGAGAATTGCCTCTGTGGTCTGTCTGTGTCCTCTTTCTCGCTCAGAATGCAGATAACTTGAAAAAAACAAAGCTTCACCCTAGAGAGCTGCAGAAGAAATGCCTACATAGGTACTTATTAGAAGCAATGGCTTCACCAGGAATTGGGAAGATTGTACTGGTTTTAGTATGAAAAGGAAAAAAAAAAAAAAAAGTCCTTTCCCCAGGCTGTGACAACTTTTGGGTGCCCGGGCATATAAATCACTGTAATGTAATTAGCGCGTAGCATGATTCCTTCCTGGGCAGTCAGCGTGAGTGTTAAGCATCTGAGGCTTTGCTGAGCGATGATCCTCGGCCTCTGCACGGGCGCAGGCCTGCGGGACCACCGATGCTCTGCATCTGGAGATTCTGCGGTCCGGTCTCCAACAATGGCCGCTCCCAGTTGTTGCTGTGGGAAAACCCAAACTCACCTAGATTTTTCCTGAGAAACACCACCCTGTGCAGGTGTAGAACACTCGATCCCTCAAAGGATTTTTTTTTTTTAATCATTTTTTATTTAGTCCCTGATTTTATACCTGGAAGCATGAGATTTTCTGGTTTTTCCCCATATCCTTTCAGAGGTACAGAAAGATGCACTGGATAGATATTTCAGTCCCTCTCTGCATCCTGCATGATACACGCTGGATATTTTCGCCAAAGATACAGCAATGCAGATCAGGCAGCAGGATGCAACTGCAGTGTGTATCCCTGGTGCAGACGTGAACAGGAATAAATAGCTGCACTGATGCAGCTGGTCAGAACAAAAGAATTTAAGTATTTAACTTGCTACCACTCAGCACTTCAGAGACCTGCAAGCAGAAATGGTTCACCCATTCGTTTATATGGCAAGAATCAGGTTAGTTAAACAGCCCTAGAAGGTTTTTCTTCTGTCCTAAAATTAAAATTTAACATTTAATAAGAAAAAAAAAAAATTACTCTTAACACCTTTGATCAGGTGTGGCAACTCTTGCTAAGTAGCAGTGCTGATTAAGATTTCATTTTAAAAGTCGTGGGTACAAACACTAGAAAGAAAATACTCATTACAGACTAGATAGTGCAAGCCACAAAAAGAACAATCCCTAGTCCATACACCTTTTCTGCTGTCTTAAACATGGCACATCTGCAAATTACATTACAAGAAAAATGAGAATAATCCATTTTCAGGCTCTGTCTTCTGCCTCGCATCAGGCTTATTTTTAGCCTTTTCTAGAACTAGATATAAAATGATCTCCCAGTTCTCCTATTGCAGCAATTTGAAAGTGTCTGACCTTATTTGTGCTTTGCAGATTCTATTATGTGGGGCAGGGAAAGGACTCGCAGTGTTGTCAACCCTCTTTTTCTCTGATTTTTCTGTGGCAGCAG